TTCATTAATTCTTTCATCCCTCTATCCATCCTTCCAGTCAGCCATACTAAATACTAACCACTGTGCCAAAAGCAGGAGGTACAAAAATGAATATGACATCATTCCAGCCCTTAAACAATTCCCAGCTCAATGAAGGAGACAAATAAAACCTTTTTTTCCCCCATTTCTTTCCTTTTTAATTTCTTTTCCTTAATATTATTCAGTCTAACCTTATTTACCCAGTTCAGCTTAACTTACTGAGTCAGAAAAAAAGAAAACATTTTCTATATTCAAGTCTCTTAGAATTAAGTTCAACTGAAGTGTACAAATTCCTTGATAATGGAGTCCAAGTGTAGCCTCCGGATGACTCTAGGTCTTCAAGGCTTCTGGGGTCACTTTTTCATCTGATACTCAAACTAAGTTCCTAATAAACTGAGCTCCTATTCTTCATTCCATTGGGAAATCTATCTCTCCCGATGTCTCCAAATATTTTCACAAGGGCTACATTTCTCCTGATTTCCTTTTACTCTCCTATGTTTTTGAGCCTCACTGTGTATCTTGCCTCCATGGTTGATTGCTTCCCTCTTTTTGTCCTCCCATGGCCCAATACCTTCATCACTCAAAGCACCATCAATGCCAGGCTCTTGTACAACCACCTTTTACTGAAGGCATAACAGAGAAAGCATCATCTTAAAATTTGATATACTCCATCCATATCCCAAAGTTCCTTTGCTGCACCTGAACAGGGATTTCTCACTTGCTTGCCGCCTCCCACTGTGGGCCTTTCCTCCTCCTTAGAGACCTTTCCCATTTCTTTCTCTCCAGATTTCAACTTTCTTCCAACTTCTCCACTTTTAAGCTGACAGAAGACAACTTCCAATTTCCTACCACGTTATTATGCAGACTATTTTGGTTCTCTGTTAACAGCCCTCTCATTCTAAACCATACCTACTAGTGATTTTAGACTTTATAAATAAAAAAATGGCCTATGTAGCTTGTTTTTTAAAGCAAAACACTCATGTACTTCTGAGATGAATATCTCTCTCCCTGAATGTCAGTTTGTTTCTTTTTTTACACTCTTTTTATTTTCCTATTATACTATTATCACACTATCGCAGATTTACAAAGTCCATAAAAGCTAAATATATACAGAACTATAAAAATTACAATGAAGAATAATACAAATACAAAACCATGATGTGGTTCTTTAAATAATGCTAATAAAAATATTGATAAATTCAAGTTCCAAGTGACTTGTAAAAACAGACAACTTTTGATTTTCAAAGTGTTGTGTCTTAGAATCGTGTATATTTAGAGGCTGAGTTGCTTTGTTTACTCACCAATACTTGTGTAGAAGCCAGAATTATGTCACAACACACACACAGACACACAAACACACACACACACACACACACAGGCACAAATGTCCTATAATATAGGAGGTAGTGAACTATTTTTATTAAGGTTTAGGAAGATTCTACAAATGCTTGTAATTTAGAAACTTCACTTCATTTAATAATGAGCTATCAACCTTGTATTATCAAGTTGAAAACACAGTGAAACAGTGTTTTTCAAACTTTAGTATGTATAGCAATCACCATGAATGTTGTTAAATGCAAATTCCTTCTCCCCAAACAAAAGAATCTGTGTCTGATAGCTGGTGTGGAGAGTGAGGAATTCACATTTGTGTAAGCTCTCCAGGTATGTTCTAATAAATATGACCAAACTCTTTTCCTAGGTATATGGGTGGGCAAAATGGGCAATTTAACAAGATGATTCATGTTACTTAAATTCCAACCACCAAGTGTGGTGGTACCTTCTGACTCTGTTGACCTTTCTCTGACAACATAATAACTCATTTAATGAACATAAACATCAGGTTCTAGTAGTTCTCATTGAGATACTAATTATATATTTTTAAAGTATACTAAAATATATATAATAATCATTTCTAGTGTTTACATAGTGCTTTAAATTAAAAACCACTTTAACATATATCTTTTTTTTTTGCTGCATTCCAAACAATGGGGCTGATACAATAATTTAAGATAAGTGAATTCTATAGCTCCCCCAATAGGCCAACAAGTCTAAAGGAGTACCACCAGCAACCAAACTGCTCTAAAGTCACCTTACAACCTCATTTTAAAACCCAGGTAATATTTCTGGTTATTTAAAGCTCTTCAGAAAAAGAGGTTAACTTCGAAAAAGTCAGGGTCTCTGTGCTAGGTTGGGCTTTAATCATGACAATTCGTGCAAAAGAGGCAGATTTGGAAGACCTGCTGCTCCTGTGGTGTTTCAGTAAAGGCATCACTTGAGAAAGTGAGATTGAAAAAGTCCAGACTTTTTGTTAAAACTTCCTACTGTGCTATAGACCAGTCTCCCCTTTCCATCGGGTCAACCTTCATTTATCCCTCAAATTTCAGTCTGTAGTTATTTTGTCAGAGGTTTCTGTGACCCCTCAGTCTTAAAATAAAGCCCCCCTTTTTTGATCCTTTCTATCCTTCATTGCATTTATCACAATTGTAATTATGTAATTTTTGTGTGGTTAATTATTTAGTGCCTGTGTCCCTAATAGATTGTGAGTTATTCAAACACAGGCATTGTGTTTTGTTAACTACGGCTACATTAAAGCCCTCATCCTGTGGCCTGGCATAGATAGGCACCTGATTCATACTTGTTGAATGAATAAATGAAGAGTAGGAAAATGTCCTATCGGAAAAGATTCCAGTGTTGTGTGTTGACAAGCATCAAAATACACTAGAAAATTGTCTTTGTTGTATGAGAGGTAGGCTGGGAAGCTAGAAGAGATTTGGGAAGAGCAATGCTGGGAAGTCCCAGTCAATTCACTACATGAATGTAGGTGGACAGAGTTTGAGACTGCAAAGTTAGCTGAAAAAATGCTGACTGAAGAACACTAGAAGCATAAAATAAAATTGCAGCTTACTTTAACTGCCTAGTATTCTTCTGTACCTGCCTCATAGATAGAATGTGTGCACTAGAACTTTTGACACTTAGTCTGAAATGCTGGAGACTAGAGTGTGGGGAGTCGCTTGGTGGGGGAGTCACTGTGTATACACCAGCAGGGCTCTAATGACAAAAAGCGATTTCAGGGGGAATCAGAAACAAAGGTGACTCTCAAATCTATAGATAAAATTGTGATCAGATTAAGAAGTAATGCATGAATCAAAGATAATTGATTCTTCCTCCAAAAGATATCATCTTTTAAAGTATCTAGAAGGTCTTTTGATCTTGTTAGGACAAGTATTTGATTTTAACAGAATAGTATATTTATTTGCACAAAGAGAAAGCTGAGTGAAAACATGTTAACATCTTGCATTATGTCTGGGAAAGATATTAGTGAAACCATAATGTCAAAACCAAAGGAAATGGGAAGATATGCATGGGGAAATAAGTCATAGCCATAAAAACGTCATGCTATATAATACTATATGAACAATGTACTCACTGCTACACTGCACAGAAACAACTTTAGAATTTGAGGTGGTTCTTTAAGGCAGATAATCACCATCCTAAGATTTTTTTCATCCTTTTGTATATTGCTTACATTGAAACTCTACCAGGAAAAAATGAGGTAGTTTTCAATCTCTTCTTGAAACCTAGATCTTTTCAATGGCATGGTGAAGAATAGGTATTAGGGGACAGGTTTGGGATTTGGATACACCCTATTATTTCGGAAAAAGGGCTATCCTGCACTTGACTGATGACCTCTTTCTCCTAAATGATTACTTAATTTGGATATTCAAGAGGCAATCTCTTGGTGCTCATTATGCGTGCTAAATCTGAGAGCATTAGCAGAGAGCACTAGGAATCTGCTGGCTTCTTTGGAAGCCTCTGGTACTGTCTGCAACAGTACCATTCACTCAAACTGGGTGTTAAGTTTTCAGATCTTGAATATTAAGAAGTATGCGACCCCAAGATAAATAAATTTTTCAACATATTTGTGTTCAACATACGAGAGTTTGGTAGTTGACAAAACAATTGGGGGCGAAACTTGTCAGGTTAGTGTCTTAGTTCTATCACTTTGTGTCTTATGACTTGGAAAAGTAGCTTAATTTCTGTGTGAATATTGCAGAACTGTAAAATATGGTAGTCATAATGCTGTTATGAGTATTGATATGCGTTAATTATGTAATTTGCTTTTATGAGTGTCTGGCACTAGTAAGAACTATGTAAGCGAGAGCTTTTATTATTCTGTATTAGTAGAAGTGTGTATTCACATATTATTGACTGAAGAAATGAAATAAAAACTTGAATAAAAAAGAAACCCTGCAGTTTTATAGCATGTTCCTCTAACACTTGGAGTTCTTTTTCAGGTGAGAAAGAAAACTGTCTTTTAATTTGTTCCTTAACTCTGTTTCTCTGTCTTCAGGCTTGTTGCCTACTCTTCATCTCTAGATTGTTCTTTTGGACAAGTCTCCACCTTAAGTTGATACAATTTAACTGTAACATAACTCAAAAAAAATTTTTTTCATGTTCATACCTCATAACTTGAACATTTTATTTATGGTTAAAAACCTACAGTTAAATGCATGTGGCTTCCAAATTTTCATCAGTGTGGACTGCACCTTATATTTATAGATGTAAAACATGATCTAATACATGTAGGATCAGAAACAGTATCTGGAGCCACTGTGTACATATATTATTTTTTTTTCAGTCTATTGCCCTTTAACATTGTTTTGGATTGATTTTTATGCTCTCTTAACAGGTATATTTTCTTATTCAAAAGAGTCAAGAAATTATTTTCCAACATAAAGCAAAAAGTTTTACCTATATAAGCAGAAAACAGAACTTGAAACACATTATGTGTGCAACTCTAATTAATGATACCTATGCATCTCTTCTTTCACTTGAGTGACATCCCAAGCAAAATTTACAAATGTGCTTTTATTTTTTTTTTCATCTGCAGGGATCGATGCTCTTAGATTTGGATCAAAGTATACCATAGTTCAGATCATTCTCTCTTTGTTTCTTTTTCTATTTCTTCTTTTCCCCTACAGTTTATTGCTTTTGCTTCTTTATTCTTCATCCTGGTTTCAATCACAACCTTTTGCCTGGAGACACATGAAGCTTTCAATATTGTTAAAAACAAGACAGAACCAGTCATCAATGGCACAAGTGTTGTTCTGCAATATGAAATCGAAACGGATCCTGCCTTGACGTATGTAGAAGGAGTGTGTGTGGTGTGGTTTACTTTTGAATTTTTAGTCCGTATCGTTTTTTCCCCTAATAAACTTGAATTCATCAAAAATCTCTTGAATATCATTGACTTTGTGGCCATCCTACCCTTCTACTTAGAGGTGGGACTCAGTGGACTGTCATCCAAAGCTGCTAAAGATGTACTTGGCTTCCTCAGGGTGGTAAGATTTGTGAGGATCCTGAGAATCTTCAAGCTCACCCGCCATTTTGTAGGTCTGAGGGTGCTTGGACACACTCTTCGAGCTAGTACTAATGAATTTTTGCTGCTGATAATCTTCCTGGCTCTAGGAGTTTTGATATTTGCTACCATGATCTACTATGCTGAGAGAGTAGGAGCTCAACCTAACGACCCTTCAGCTAGTGAACACACGCAGTTTAAAAACATTCCAATTGGCTTCTGGTGGGCTGTAGTGACCATGACTACCTTGGGCTATGGGGATATGTACCCCCAAACATGGTCAGGGATGCTGGTGGGAGCCCTGTGTGCTCTGGCTGGAGTGCTCACAATAGCCATGCCGGTGCCTGTCATTGTCAACAACTTTGGAATGTACTACTCCTTGGCAATGGCGAAGCAGAAACTTCCAAGAAAAAGAAAGAAGCACATCCCTCCTGCCCCTCAGGCAAGCTCACCTACTTTTTGCAAGACAGAATTAAATATGGCCTGCAACAGCACACAGGGTGACACGTGTCTGGGCAAAGACAATCGGCTTCTGGAACATAACAGATCAGGTAAGGCACAATTTCAAACGCATGCCACTAAACACTTTATAGACCAGTATGTCCCTCAGGTAGAAGGCAACCATTTTCATTGTCTGCAAATGTTCCTGAGTTTTCAGTTCTACCCCTTCACAGTACATGTGTTTGTGTCAGGCTTGTAGACAGCTAGACTGTAGCTTTTCTCAGTAAGATTCCAAGTAGAAGCCTGCATAGCTGGTCTATAGAGTTTTCCTGCTTTAGTGGGAATGCCCTTTGCTGATGGTGCCAATATTTTCTTTTGCCTGTTTGTTGCTTTGTGCCAATGTTTCTTTGTTTCCCTGCACGATGTGATGGTATGATACTGACCATTTTCCATCTCTCATTCTCAAAATGTTGATTTCCTTATCATTTGGCTTGGTGTGTTTGTCTCAGTTTTATCTCTGCCACATGGGGCCACGCATCTCAACCTATTTCACAAGAAGCAGTTACTTAAAAAGAATGGATGCTTATATTTCAATAGCCTGAACACCAAAAAGGTGATATGGAAGATAGCCTTTTTGATAATGAAAGTCATCCCTAGCAATTTTCTAGAGGATTGATTAAATTTTCATTATTAACTTAGGATATTCAGTATAATACATTTAGATTGGGTAAGATGCTATGTAATATAATAAATTCACCATTATCCTGGAGGTAGATGATCTGCTTTGTCTTATCAATGGCAAAGTTGAACTTCCCAGTGGATTTCCTCTTTTACACACGATGCATTGGGCTCTGTTCCCCTCCCAAACTGAATTTTGGGTGATGTACTGCTGAATCCCTACCCCTCTCCATTGCCATAGTTAATCTGGAGGACACTGACTGTAAATTAATGTTTGTTTTGCCACAATGAGAGTAATATGCTCTCTACTCTATTGTGTCTGGTACAGATGAAATATTTTATAGATTGAACAATTTAATTACCTTTCAGTCCAGTCTGAAAATTTAAGATATGTGCATTCCCTATAACGTAGATATATTTAATCTTTTTCTTGTAGAAAAATGATTTATGATAATCCCATGTGAATACTTTCACATGATTTTGAAATAACACCAATTACACAAAGTAAGCAAACAAACAAACAAAAAAGGCAGGTAACATTTTCATAAGTTCCTTCATTAGCTTCCAGAAGTTTATACAAAGTAAATGGGGAAAAATGTGGCTGGAACTAAACTGCTTTTTAAAGATTTTATTCATAAAGATCCCTATGCTTACTTAGTACATTGTTCTGCAAATTCTGTCACTATATCTGAAAACTATAAGGCAAAGAATGTCTTTATGAAAGGTGGAGTTTAGTTGGTGTTGCTAGTCTCATGGCGCTGTTCTCAGAGTACCTGTGCCCAGTTTTTAAGAAGGGCATGAGAAACAGGACACACTCTCAGCCTGGGTAAATAAATATTGTTATAACAAGCTAGCATCTAGGCCAATAGGATGTAGACGTCTTTGGCAAGCATATAGAAGTAAACAGTTGTTTCAAGAGCATTTGGAGAAGTTAATCTTATTCCACTGTTATGCTCAAAAACATTTTTCACTTCAGAATGGAGACCCTGGACACAAAGTGAGTTTTGGGATTATTTTTATTAAGATTTTTTTGGAAAGTTGTTTTCTGCAAATATTATAAGCATGTGTCTTAAAGAACTCCAAAACTAAATATGTACCCAGGAGTTTTTCCTTAAATAGGCTCCATTTTTAAAGATTCTTATTCACAATAACTAGATAGCATGTCAGAAATCGTAAGATATTAATGTGTGTGCTACGTCATTATCACACTTATTTTGAATTTATATTAGTTCTGTGAAAGTCCATTTCCTATTAGGTAGAATCCAAAATGGAATTAAAACTTCCCAAAGAACACTTCTCTCCTTCTCAACACATTTCCATTTTGCTCCATGTAAATTTTTGTAATGAGTGATGAAAACCCTTTTTCTTATCATGATGTGATTATTGTTTTGTATATCGAGTGACTGTACTATGGACATTCCGTGTAAACTCTTTGTACTGTCTCATTTCCTCATCCATCACTGTCTGTCAATGGGCATGGTGCTGTGACCAGTGTTATCAGGTGACGACAGTACAGGAAGTGAGCCGCCATTATCACCCCCAGAAAGGCTCCCCATCAGACGCTCTAGTACCAGAGACAAAAACAGAAGAGGGGAAACATGTTTCCTACTGACGACAGGTGATTACACGTGTGCTTCTGATGGAGGGATCAGGAAAGGTAGGCATGCATTTAATCAGATCCTAATAGATGACTTAGAAATTAAGTGCTACAAATATACGGAGTGATATAAATGCTTTTTCGTCATTTTCTAGGAAAGCCTGCACGCAATGTTCTCTTGCATTCCTCATCATCTCTTTTCTCATTGTAACATTAAAGTGCGTATCATAACAGCCTACTTGATTGTCCTATCTGAAAGGCATTTCACCCTTCTTTCTTTCTTTATAGTTTTGGTTTCCACTAGTCTATGGGAAGAATTGTAATGGGGTATTTAAAAATTAAGTCACTCAGCTAATTTCTTTAATATAATGTACTCAACAGTCCTTAAAAGTTATCTTTTTAACTACAGGTAATAAAACTCACTAATTGATTCTATGCATATATTTGATAAGTAATTGATAAAAAATAAGGCTTTTTTTCCCCCCAAAGAAAAGTTTTAAACACACTGTAATTAAGTCTCTTATCCAGTATTTGCACAGTTTTTGCCATGAATTATCCGAATGTCAGAAGGCCAAAAAAGGTCCAACATCCCAGCCATATAGAATCGTATACCCCATAACTCAAAAAGCTACTTATGTACTTATAAATTGTGCTACAGAATTTCTTTTTGAGGCAATAATAATACTTTTAAGTTTATTACTGTTTTCAACCCACACTAAACTGTGCCTGGCACACAGAAGACAATAAATGTTTGTTGAATGCATAAATTTTGTTGGGTAGGCATCCTCATTAAGAAATATAACGGAATATTGAATCTCCACTCCATCATGTCCTTCCAATTTTCTAGATGATGCCACCATCTATGACTATTCCCTAGGTACTATTTTTTTGTTTTTGTTTTATGTAAACTTGACAGATCTCAGGACAATTGGACCCTTTTTTCCCTCTTTTAGAAACTTTGTGACGTCTATTACCCACCCTTGTCCAAGGGCTGATATGCTCTTTGATTACCTCCTACTTTGATAATTCCAGTTGCTTCATTGCCATGGTTCTCTTTCTCTGCTTATTGACCAAATAGAGAAAGAACTATAATAATTTCTTATGCAATGGACTGAATTTTAATGAAAAGCCCCTGCGAAACTTTCATATTAGTGCAACTGCATTAAAAATACTGCACTTTTTTTGCTGTTCATTGAAGTTTCTCCCTATTGAATACTTTAACATTTTAAGCCTTAAATATTTATTTTGTGATGTCTTCTCTCTTTGAAATGTCTCATTACCCATATTGTACTTCTCTTTCATTGATTCTGAACACTTTGTATTGTCCTTTCTGTCTCTATGCCTTTGAGTCTCAAAAGAGAAGACAGACTCTTATTTCTTTTGTATGTAATATTTTACATACTTCTTCATTTCAATGACTTCCGTTCCTCAGCATCTATTATTTGCACAAAATGTATTTCAATGATCTGAATAGTTTTGTTTTTTTGCTATTTTACATTTAAATATTAAGTGCTAGAACAATTTTTAAAATATTTTATGAAGATAGTTAATGTCCTATCATAGTACTTAAACAAAATATATGTACATACATAAATAATGATTATAATATGTAATTTTTTAATTTAATATAATGTAACTACAGGTAATAAAACTCAATAATTGATTCTATGCATATATTTGATAAGTAATTGATACAAGAAATAATAATTTCTTGTATAGAATATTATATTTTAAGTACATTACATATCTTTACTCACTATATGTATATATACATATATGTGTATATATGTATATATGTATTTATATGTAATATGTGGTTACATTCACATACATTTTTGAGCATCACTTGATAAATTATCACATGCAATATTTATACTAACGCTGCATGTTTAAGAACTTAGCTAAAATTTTTTCCTTCCACTCTTAGACAATACTTTGGATTTTAAACTGTCAAAGGTGATCACATAAGAAAAAATACTTTGTAAATTATTAAACACTATGTTCATATAGAATTTTTCTGTAAAATGGCAACGTTTCATGAGCAAAGCAATTAATAAGATATTTAGTTTCTATAGAAAAGTTATACATGAAATCTTATTTCACAATGCAAAATTCTCTTTATTAATGAGCACATCTTTGAAAATTCATCTATGGGCTTTTAATCTTTGTCATTTCTCACCATAATCAAATTTCTTTTTCATTCTTGCTTAATTTCTTTACACCTTGTGTTTTTTCTCCCAGGCCTTGTAGCATTTTTGGTTAATTTCACTTAATTTTCTTAGTGTGTTGTCTTGTTATGTTTATCAGGAACCCATTCATTTCTTCTCTTGTTACTTTTTATGTAGATTATAGATTTCTCCTATTATTCTTATTCATTTATTTCCTATATGATACCTTTTTTATCTTTCAAGTTGGTCTCTCTACTGATTTGATTTTTAGAGTTCTGAAAATTCTCCCCTATATAGATGAAAAGAAATTACCAGATTCCCACTGAATTCTTTTTCTATCAACAAATATGAATACAGTTGGGCATACATTAATAAAATTTATGGATTCCCCATGAGAGTGAACTCCCAATACTTGGAACCTGTGTTTTTATTTATGCAGTAGTTTTTAGGAAATCATCTTTCATACACAAAAACATACCCACTGATAGTGCATGGATAAGCAGTTTCAGCATTGCCCCAAATAAGCACACGCTCTCTGCACCATGTATTTGGATGTCAATTCCAACTAGGTTCAATATTGTTTATTCTCATAAATTATATTTTTAACCATTCCACTCAATAAAAGTTTGCTTAAGCAAAAACCTTATCAAATTTTCTATCACAATGAACTTGCAGAATAAAAAAATACATACTTAAAAGAATAACTTATAATTTTACTAATTAAATGCTTGTTAAATTAGAAGGGAAGTCTTTTCAAATGAACACTGAAATTATAATTATTAAAAATAAAAGGACTTATAAACAGAATGGGTAATATTTATGTTGAAAACTGTAATTCAGAAAAATAATTGAACATTTAGAATGGCAACCAAGATTTACATATAACTAGTGTAATTAATAGAAAACTGTCAAGAAAACTTTTACCTTTTGGAGGTCCTGTCAGGAGCTTGGAGGTTGTGGGAGACAAAATGTAAATTTTTATAAGGATGAATGATTTATAGGTGTTAACAACCTCTCTGGTTCATGCATATTCACCAGTTTGCTTTTAATCAAACCAAATCAATGTTTATAGTGTAGTTTGCATTTTTAGATTACAGGGTCAACTAGGATAAATCTTCCTATAATTCCCCAAGTTACATTTCCAATCACTTTAGAGAAGAGCAGTAACAACTAGCTCTCCAGGCATACGGAGGTCCCTATGTAAAGATAAATTTCTGAAATTCTTTTTTAATTATTTAAGACATCCTCTTATTAAGTATTCCATCATCCACTGGAATAGGATGAAACATACATCACCTCCTGGGTTTTATATCTCCGAATGCTAACAAAACATATTGGCAGATAATTCTCTTGTTAGCAGAAATTATGTCCTAGAGAAACTTACCATGGTTAATGGAAGGCACAAATTTCCATCAACAAAAATCTCAGAGAGGACATCAAGCATGCTGACAGTTTGTGTGTGTGTATGGGGAGGGATGTTCCTATTCAGTGCAGCTTCACCCCACAGTAGAGCAATTACTGCAACCCATGTCCATCCTGGTTCCTGGGCCCTGATAAATCAAATAATCACTAATTTGCTTAATTTCTCCTTTTCTAGTGAAAGGAGGAGAGATAGTATTAGCTTCTTCCCCAGAAGTCCATGAAAATATAGAATTAGAAAAAGAAGTCGTTGAGAGGAACATGGGGAAGCACGAAAGGCCCATTTTCTTTCTCAGATAGTCATCATGCACACTGAGGACCACTCGGAGCCCAAGGAATGTGCCCTAAGTCTAAGGGATAACAAAGTTTGCTGAACTTGGATGTCCTTGTTCAGCTTTAACTGCCCAACAGAGAATTTCATTTCCTCATTCTACAACACTTTTTTTCAGTGGGCCTGTCAGAACATTTATTTCCTGGCTACTTTCTCAGTCAGTGGTTGTCCTGCTCTTAAGACAATTCACGTCTAACTTTGCAGTGTGCCATCCACCCCACTTAACCACCTCTAATCTTTTCTAATAAATAGTACTACAATATATGAGTCCTTCCAAAGGTGACCTTGATGAGGATGTTGCTTGAGTGGCTAAGGAAAACCACTGGGGGTTAAAGCTTGTGAGATGGATCTTTTATTCTGTAAATCCATGACTATCACACACAAATGATTAGAATGCGAGATGATAGAAAGAAAAAGTGAATCAAGATCAAATGGTTCTCAATTCCTGGCAGTGGAGAGCCAACTGAAAACATCAGATAACTAAGTTCAGACTCTAATTCACTGAATTATGACTCAACTTATATTTCATTTCATTTCTTTTTTTCCTTTCCTTTTTTTTTTTTATCCAAGGAACTAGAAATGAGCATTCATTCCACATTGCCTAGATAATGGCAACCAATGCCATTATTTGAGAATCATCCTTTTAACACTATAAAGCTGGCAGATTAAATATGCTTGAGAAAAAAAAGCCATCCACTTAAAGTTAATCCTGCTTGTTAGCTTAGTAAATAACAAAAAAAGAAAAGAAAAAATAGCCCACTTGTTTTTTTCAGAAGCATATTCTGAAATGTAAAAATATTAGCCAAGTTTATATCTTACTTAAGTTGCTTTGCCTAATTCTTAAAAGATTTCTAGTATTTTATGTGCCAAAATGACATCAATGCAAAATATAATTTGGGAAAGAATAAATTTTGAAGTAGTACAACTATAATTTGTGATAGCTGGTTTAATCTTTTGGGAATGACAGCGCTAGTGAGCTTTATTGTTTTTTTTAAGTTACAAATGGTCTCAATATTGAATTCTTTGTAAAAAAAAAAAAAGATTCTTCCTTGAACTCAAAATAGCACTTTTGATTATCCTGCATGGTATTATTTGTCTATGTTTATTTTCTGGTTGAATTCAACTGACGTCTGTGCATTTTTTCATAAAAGGATATGAAAAATCCCGAAGCTTAAACAACATAGCGGGCTTGGCAGGCAATGCTCTGAGGCTCTCTCCAGTAACATCACCCTACAACTCTCCTTGTCCTCTGAGGCGCTCTCGATCTCCCATCCCATCTATTTTGTAAACCAAACTGCATCAGTCGGCTAAATTGTATGAATTCAAGTACTGTCTACCCCATAATGGAGATAATTAAATGTAGAGTTACTCCAGGCTCCATTAAATACAGTTTAAATCCTGCATGATACTACTATTTGAAGTCAGAAATGCCACTTGGGTAGCTAACAAATCTTATCCTGGCTTTAAAGATTACCTAAAGTAGTGCTACTTCTCCATGTTAATCGCTCTGGTCTCCTTTCGCAATAAAATGACAGATAGTGTCAGCTGTTGGCCAGTACACTAATACATAAACATATCTTCAGGGAGATAGATTTAGAACAGTGTGCTTCCTAATGCCAATCACTTCATTGGACCTTCATTTCTTGTGACTCTTAACCATTTTGAAGATGTTTGGGATCCTCTCTTGATTGCACACGACATGACTCTGGTCAGCTCATTTGCATGGACCATCTTGTCTCTATCACCTGAAAGCAATGTCACAGAGTCCGGGGACCGTGGATGGCTCAGGATATGTGTACTTGCATCGAACCATCCTGCTGATATGAAAGCCCTGGTCAACTGTTCTGCACGTGGAATTGTGGGGCAGGGAGGGCGAGTGTCTCCTTGGCATTTTTTTTTTCCCTTATTCTTTGAAAGAAATATTTGTCTTAACTAGTTTAATTTCTTGATTGATTTGCTTTTCTTCAAAAATGCTGTATTGGAGTTCTGAATGTCTCTGGTTGTTTGCACACAGATAACTGCAAAGAGGTTGTCATTACTGGTTACACGCAAGCTGAGGCCAGAGCTCTTACTTAATGGCTTGGGGAAGGCACAAAACATGAGAGAAAGGTAACTGCCGGCCAGGCTTGCATTGTTTAGCCACGAATTGCTGCTTGGTACTAGAGTCATACATATATATATGTATATATATACATATATATATATACATATATATATGTATATATATATTTTTTAATCCCAGGATTTGTCATCATTTTCAGAGGCAAAGTGCCAAATATCACCTAAAGCTCTCGTGTCCCCCCTTTTTTTTTTACCCCTTCCTTTATTCTTATTTATTGATTTTTGTGCAAACATCAAAGATTATCGTGGTTCACAGGAGGCTTTTTTTGACCAGCCTTAAATTTCTGACTCACAGGATTGATCGGATTTTCAGGCAGTGTTTAACCAGGTGCTTTTGTCCTGTATGTTGTTCTGTCTGTCTGTCTTAGTTCCCTGTCTTAAATGTATATGCCATCCGTCTTCATGTAGCACAGAAATGCCTTGATAAGATGTTCATGATTTTAGTCCTGGGTCCTCTCCCCTGCCCCTGCCTTCTCCGCTCTTTGGAACAGCCTCTCTGCTTTGTGTACAAATGAATGACGCCCTGTAGACTACCTAAGTTAATCGGTACTGTGAACCTTTTTTGATAAGCAGGATTTAAGCAGCAGTGTCACCATCACATTGGTTGCTTGCTGCACTGTCAGTTTCTACTATCTAGCAACCAGCATTCATCACTACACTCCAGCAAAACCGCGAGGGAGTTTTATTCAGTCAAAGTGGAAGAAATTCTGTTTACAACATCCCTGTGAATGCACTTGGGATAGTGTGTCTGGTGTATTGGGTGCGTGAGGGAAGAAAAATGCCATAATATAAATTGAGGGATAAACAATATTTCTAAGGCATTCAGGATCCTTGAGACTGTTGATTAATTCTTAATTCTCATGTTTATTTTTTTTTGTTAGGAAGACAAATGTCATTTTTATTATTGGCCACATAACACCTATTACTCTCTATCCCTAAGTCCTAAAGCATGAACTGCATGTCAGAGATCTTGTACAGCAACGGATTTACCCAGACGTACACATCTGATATTTAGAGATTCAGTGATCCTTTTAATAAGACCACACTTAGGAAGTTATAATGACATATGGCGTTGTGGTAAAGGAATTAATATACTGTCTGGTGCTGCTGTTATTGACTACAGTGTTGTACAGAATCTGTCATGGATTTCTGACTGCTGAAAAAGGGACAATGGGATTTAGCCACACCAAGGACTGTACCGGAAACAGACTTCTGCTGCTGAATGTGCCCTGATGCGACCAGGTAGCACTTGGAAGAGGTCCCTGCATCTTCGCAAGGCATTTAAAGCTAGAAAAGAACTGTGGCTGGAACTCATTTGGTGCTCCCCATATGAGTGGTCTGCTGTGGACTGGCCAGTAGCTGTGAAACAATTGTAAACACCAACACGTGGGCATGGGTCGATAGCGTCAGCCATCTCACATCCAAGGACACCAAGTCCATGACCAACATCTCTGAAGCTTCGAGTAAGGCCCGTACCTCTGTGAATTGCCCCTCTTGGGCCTGCAGTAGATCGTGCTGTGAATCATACAAGGCAGTGATATTGGTGTAGTACAGACGTGTCCTAATTTCCCTTCTTTCTCCTTTGTTGTTTGAATCCATGAACATTGACGGTATCTTTTTTTTTTTTATAAACCACTTATGTTATCAGCTTGTCTTTGTTGTGAAATTTTCAGTGCCTATTTATCAAAACTAACCTGTTTTTTGTCACATGTATGTTTAGTTCTGGAAAATCATTATGACTTTAAGAAAAAACTCACCAACATTATTCATGGTTTAAGTCCTTTGTCATCGTTACCTCAATTATAAATATTACAGAAAATAAAATTCTGGTGATGAGAGTATTTTTTTATTAAATGATCAAGGAGTAATGTCAGTATATAGTAGAGTATTAATCAAATTATATCCTAAAATGTATATTTTGCATAAAAGAGATATTCTTCAATCAATTACTTTTTTGTGAGTTTTGTGGCAAACGAAACTTGTACTTGTCTTTAAAACTGTTGTAGTCGAAACTGTGTAAGAATTCTTCATCTTGCTTAATCAATATTTCCAGAATCGATTAGTTCCCCTGGGATTCTGAATATAACATATAACCTAATTATGAACCTCTGTATCGTGGACCTTTTGTGAACATTTCAAGGTGCATGCACAACCTTGGCGATAACAGATGGATATGTAACTAACTGAAATGAAGAATAAAAGGCAAATAAGCTGGGGATGATCTTGACTCCTATCTGATTAAATTATTCATATTCTTTTCTTGGCTCTTCTCTTTGTTTTGGAATTTTCAACAGACTGTACTATTTTTATGTTTCATGGTACCAAACCAGCTAGTCACACATAATACAAGGAATTTGGGATGAAAGGATTTATACATATACAGAAGTCCCTCTTTCATTCAAGTCTTGGGCATGTAGCCAGTGTTTTCCTCTTCTAAGTGCTTTGCCTGCCTAAATTTCTCTTATAATTCTGAGATGGAAAATTATTAATTATGTTGCTCTCCAATATTTATATGGTACTTTATGACTGATACTGAATTTTCACTCATACTTTCCAACTTAATCATCACAGCACTTCTGGAAGTCAATGTGTTTTATTTTCATTTTATTGATGGTGAAGCTAAGGATCAGAGAGGCAGAACTGTTTACTTATATTTTTGCCACAGATACTCTTCTCTGCCATAATTTCTTATGGTTTTAATATTTACTGAGCCTCTTGTAAATGCCTTATCTTCTAAAGATGGCTTCGGTCTCAATATTGGGTAATGGACCTCTGTTTTGGCAGCACACCACACATAGCTAACATTCCATTATATTGTGGGGTTATGTGTAAATTTACCCTGTAAAATCTATGAAACTATCAGGATTAAGGGAAGGGTAAAATGAAAAAGAGAAATCAGGTTGGCAAATCCAACACTTTCTTATTATGCACCAATAGAATCTTTGCTACATCTAAAAATGCTCAGTGTTGATTATTAAGAGTCTATTAAGAAACTGAGTTCATAAAAGGGAATACGTCTAGATATAATTACTGATAAAATGTTTTTAATGATGGTGTCAGCATGCAAAATTTACTGTAAAGAGGAAAAATGCACAAGAAGGGGGAAAGAATGCATTTTAATAGATGATAATTACCATCAAATTTTGACTAAAAGAATCAAGATTAAATAGTCATGAATGAAAAGTGAAAATACTCACTTCATCTTTCAAATAAATCACAAAACAGACTAATGGAATAGCAATAGTGAACTTATCTTGGAAAGAGACAATGAATATGTTAAAAGGCTATATTACAAAGCAGGGCCTCTGGAGGATTTATAGCGTGCTTGAAGACATTTAGAGCTAAGTGAATCTATTCATTTATGATGATGATGATTAAAATATGCGGCTTAAAATTTTTCCTTACTGACAAAAATTGTCTCCCTTCCAGTTTCCCCTGACAAAATTCAATTAATTGTTTAAATTCTTGATTATTAAACTATAGATATATATTAATTTTCTCTAACATGGATTCAGTATCATTAATATTGATCCTAAATTTAATAATTTCCTGTTCTCCCCTAAACTGTTTCAAAAATATTTTTTCATTATTGTCTAAAAATTAAATAATTGTATTGAATAAGTATTACTTGATTTTTTTTCTTTAATTATACTGTCATTCAAAGTGATGGACCACTGAATATGCATTTTTAAAAAGATTTATTTATTTAAGAGAAAGAAAGCACGCATTAATGAGAGCAGGGGAGGAGGGGAGGCAGGAGAGGGAGAGAGAGAACCTCTAGCAGACTGCGTGTTGAGCACAGAGCCCGATATGGGGCTCCTGGTGGGGTTCCATCCCACAACAGCCAGACCATGACCCAAGAAATCAAGAGTCGGACTCTTAACTGACTGGGCCACCCAGGAGCCCCTGAATATGTGTTTTGAACAGCAAGATCTTCAAAGACTATGGCGACCTCATCTACAATCCCGCATAAACTAATTTTATAAAAAAAATAGATTATTTTTTAGAGCAGTTTTAGGTTCACAGCAAAATTGAGCAGAGAGCAGAGAGAGTTCCCATTTTCCCCTTGACCCCACACATGCACAACCCCCCTTATTGTCTGTGTCCCACACCATAGTCATATATTTGCTACAATCTGTGACCCTACGAAGACATATAATTATCACCCAAAGTCCTTAGTGTACATAAGGGTTCACTCTTGGTGTTATATGTTCTATAGATTTGTTAAACGTGTAATGGCATGTATCCAGAACTGTAGTACCATAAAGAGGAGTTTCACTGCCCTAAAAATCCTCTGTGCCCATCCCATCTTTCCCCTTCACCCTTGGCAGTCACTGATCTTTTACTGTCTCCATAGTTTTGCTTTGCCAGAATGTCGTGTAGTTGGGATCCTACTATATGTAATCTTTTCAGATTGACTTGTTTCACTTAGTAATATGCATTTAATGTTTCTCCTTGCCTTTTCATGGCCTGGTAGCTCATTTCTTTTTAGTGCTGAAGAATATTCCATTTTTTTTAATGTATCCCAGTTCATCCAGCCGCCTACTGAAAGACATCTTGGTTGCTTACAAGTTGACAATCATAAATAAAGCTGCTGTAAACATCTGTGTAAGGTTTTTGTGTAGATAGAAGTTTGTGATTCATTGGCTAAATACCAAGAGCACGATTACTGAATCATATGGTAAGAGTATGTTAGCTTATACTCATTTTTTCATTTGGACCTCTTACATCGTCAGCAAAACTACAGTTCTAATTCATCTTTTCAGTGCCAATCATGTGCACCACATGGATTACTTATAAATTTGCTGTTCATTTCCAGATGTAAATATATTGGTTGATTATTGACCAGCAGATTCTTTCTCTTTAAAAATGCAATTTTGGGGGGAGAGGGGGGTGCCCGGCTGGCTTATCGGTTAAGCGTCTGCCTTCAGCTCAGGTCATGATCCCAGGGTCCTGGAATCCAGCCCAGCTTTGGGCTCCCTGCTTAGCTGAGAGCCTGATTCTCCCTCTCCCTCCCTCCCTCCCTGCTCATGCTCTCTTTTGCTATCTCACTCTCTCTCCAATAAATAAATGAAATCTTTAAAAATACAACTTTTAAATAAAATACAGGAAAAGTTTCTATAAAATAAAAAAAAGTTAACTGTAATTCCATAATTTTCTACTCCACAAACTAAATAGTTTCATTTTGTCGATTTGCCTTTTTTCCTTTTTTATCCTCATTTTATAATTTTAGCGTACTGTGGGAGTACGTGTATATATGTGTGTATTTAACCAGTCATTTCAGTCATGCTTCAGTTTGGCCTTTCAGCTTTCTTGCCTCAGGTCATTCTTCCTCATGGGTGGTGTTCTAACTCTGCGCATGCTCAGGGAAGCACCCCAGGGCCCCACGATGAACACAACATCACCTCTGTCATTGAAGAACTCCCATCTAGTGTTTTGGTCCCTTTCTGGCTCTGCATCAGAAAAGCTGTTGGAGCCCTTTATTTTTTTTAATTTTTTAAGATTATTTTCTTATTCATTTGAGACACAGAAGAGAGAGAGCATGGGGTTGGGGAAGAGGCAGAGGGAGAGGGAGAAGCAGGCTCCCTGCTGAGCCAGGAGCCTGAGCGGGGCTCGATCGAGGACCCTGAGAACTTGACCTGAGCTGAAGGCAGACGCTTAAGGACTGAGCCACCCAGGCGCCCCTGTTGGTGCCCTTTAAAACTACACCTGGCTGTGCTCAGCTTGAAATTATTTCTGGGGATGAGGCCTGGACATGTATGTTATTTTTAAAAAGTAAAGTGTTATGCATATGTATTATTAACAAATAAAACAAAACAAAGAACAAACGCCCCACAGATGTTTCTTCTAACATGGCCTAAAGTAAGATAGATATTTGAAATTACTATAATAGAATAGCATTTTTCCTAAACATTTTGCACATAGGTATATTGTTTTAGCAATTAAAATGTGAAAAAGATGCATAATATCCCCTTAGGTTAATGTTCTATATATATTCATTCCCCTCAGCTATTCATGATTTCTATTTTTTTCCTATTTTCTATTATAAATCAAGAAGGAGTGACCATTTTGTGTATGTGCATTTTTATTTTATTTTTTGACAGGGAGGGCTTTTCTCAAAAATTATTCTCAAAATGGAATTATTGGCCTAAAGAGTGTGAAAAATTTCATGACCATACTTTAAAAAACTACTTTCCCATAGTCATATAATGTTACATTTCATCAGCAACAAATGAAACTGACATTATCAGGACAATTTTCTTAGCTGCATTACAATTTGGAAAAATTTTCTTTTGCTTAGAGTAATTTTATGTATATGATTAAATTAACATGAGTTGAACCATTACAGATTTTATAAATATCATGTCTCTACTTACCTTCCAGTTTAGCTAGTCATTTACTAGCAGGCCAGCCAAGTATCTTTATTAGGAAATTCTTTTTTTTTTTTTTTTTCATTTTGGAGCCAGATTTCAAATTTGGAATAAAATTTGATGTATTACTGTTTGTAAAATAATGCATATATATTGTAAACCCATAGAACTTGCGTCTTCATATTTCAATATATTTCTCATAGTAAAACAAATGAGATACGGATATTCCATGAAATTCAAAGTCGAGTAACTTTTTTAGGGGGAATGAATTTTCCTATAAGCCAGGAAGAGTTGTCACAGCAAAATGATTTAAATACTTGGGAATTAAGTGAAATTTTCACATTTTTATTAAGAGTCAATAGTGACATGAAATGGCTAAAAATACCACCATATGAAAAAGATTCTTAATTTAATTTGAATGTGGCAGTTCCTGAAACCTTTCTTTAACCAATGGTCTCAGGGTTACATAACTAAGAGGTTACATAAAACCAATTCTTTCTTAATGGCCCAAAGAAGCTATATTAAGATGTGCTTAATTTGCTGATCAAAACCAAACCAAACCAAACCAAACCTGTAACTTCAATGCAAAGGATTCAGCATGAAGTCTGTAGCTAAGGAATTACTGTGTTTGTATATGTATTTTCCTCGAGAGCTCACATTTGTCAGTAACGGTTTCTCTGGAAACAAGGGCGCTAGTTTAAATGCTCTACATGATCTTCCTTCTTGTTGCAGTCACTGTTCCTTCTCGCTTTGGGTGCTGGCAAGAAGCTTAAAAAAAAAAATTATAGGAATTCTGGAAGGATGCTGGTAGAAATTTCCAGAATCTAAGATAGTAACGA